CATGAAAATTAACACAGGACTAAGTTTCAGGAAATAGAAGACAGATATGATATATGATAGATAATATCTGTGATACACAATGTTATCTGTTGCACTGTTCATGCTCCCAAATTCATTAGCTGTGGCAATTATATGCAAGTGTGGTTTGTCCCTGCACTTCCTTTATTTTTTTTTTCTTACGCCTCCATAGTTAACTATACATCTTCTGGTAACTATCACTATTAATTTACAATTGATAATTCTAAAGCTTTTTAAAATTTCATGTTCCGCAGTTTTAAATTTTTTAAAGGTAAGTATCTATCTCACAGTCATATATTCTTTCTCTGTCATTCCATGTATAGGGAGATTTTGAGGGAAACGCTGAGAAACCCAGTGAAGCATAATCAGTAAACATATTTCTTTGGACAAGTCTACTTATTTGTTGGGTTGGGGATTTTCCCATTAAAAAGCTTATTGTTAAGAAATCACATTGATCCAAAAATTCTATCCAAAATATATATTAATAGACTGGACAAAGACCATAGGTGGATAATTCATTATTATGGTCTTTCATTATCTGAGGAGAGCAAATCGATACTTTTGTTCTGTTGTTCAAATAACTAAAAACCCTATGTGAATTCATTCATTATGGGCCTGTTTTCACTACAAGTTCAGTGCTTGCAGTGAAGCTTTTACTGGCATTAAACTAACTGAAGATATCTGTAGTTACACAAAGGGTAACTTGCACTTTTCTCAAAGGTCCTCAGTACTGACATAGTAATAATCTCATTTTTAAAACAGACAAAATAAGCAAAGTCAGAGTAAAAATGGATTCAGGTTTCAGATTTCATATATATCCAAAGGTAGTAATAGATTGAAGGTCAGATTTATAATTGCTTTTAAGCTGCTTCCCTGCCTAAAAGAAAGGGGGGACCGTGCCTACCAAGGCACAACCTACTTTCCCCAACAGCAAATATAGGCCTACCAGCAACAGGTTTTCTTTTCTTAGCTCTTACAGTCATTATTTTTAAGAGGCTACATCCACTTAGAGGATTCTATAGATTATACGTGGAAATTCACCGGACAGAGCAGACCCTCCACCTGAATTTCAATGTAGCCCAAGGCAAATTGTGGCAAAGCTTGACCCTATTCTCCCTGTTGTCAACTTCAATTAAATCTTTAGCAAAACTGGGGGAAAAAAAGGCCAAATTGATTTCAGTGTTTAGGAAAATACAGTAATTGCACAATCTACAAAAAAGTAATCCATTACACAGTATTAGAATGCAAAATGAGTCCTGTAAGGAAGTGCAGTTCTATGGTAGAGGGTAGTACAGTGGAAAAATACTGAACTATACACAGCTGTGCATCCATGGTAGCTGTGCATGCAGCTCACCTGAAATATTATTTGAGATGACATGGCTCTCCTGGGACAAAATGAACTGTACTTGTGAGAAACGCATAGAGTCCTCAGCAAGAACTAAATCACATTTCTTATGAGTAACCAATGCAGCTCTTTGCCCAATAAACAAGCTGCTGTTAAACCATCGAATTCCTCAAATAGCAAGTTCTGCCATGGAAACTGCATGGAAAATAACCTATGGATTTTTTTTTTTAATGGAAGGTTTCTTTCCCCTTTAGATGCAAAATGCTACTCAAAAAGCAAATCTGGATGACAACAAACATCCTCAGTCTTCTGACCATTCACAACACTACAACACTCCTACAATCTTTGCTTCTAGTTGTGCTGAAGTGCAAGGCACAAACCCAGAGAGGGAAGGTTTAGATTAGGGGATATGAGGATAGTCAAACACTGGAAAAAGTCGCCTAGAAAAAGGGATGCTCCATCCCTGGAAGTGTTCAAGACTGGGGTGGATGGGGTTTTAAGCAACCTGTTTTACTGGAAGATAACCCTCAACATGGCAAAGGGGTGGAACTAGATAATTTTTAAGGTCCTTTACAAGACAAAATCATTGCATGATTCTATGAATTATACCATGCAAAACTCAGATGTGCTACTCTGGCAGCCAATGAGCGCCTTCAGAGTGGTGCTGGGTTTTTCCACAATACATTACACTGTGCCGCATAGAAATAATTCTCTGGCTCATGTAGCACCAGTTCTTGAGGGAAGACAAAGGGTCATAAAAGTCATCAGAGTAACAGATCTCATCTAACCTCCTGAATACTGGCCCCATTGTATTTTCCTTAGGCGTTAGATCCAAGCGAGCCATTTATACAGACCTCTGATTTTTAAGATTTCAAGCAATCACAAGTAACTGATCCCTATATTATCCTAATAGCCAGAGCAACACAGCTTACTCAAGGTTGTGTTTGTTAAACTTCCAGTCATGGGATCACCTTATGTAATAAGGCTATAAATTTAAAGACTTTAAATCTCTCCAATATTATGCCTGTTCCTACATACAGTGATTCATTCTCTTCTTATCCCTTTTCTTTGATAAACTTTGTTTAAAGTCCTTCAGCCTCATGTCAAAACCGATTTTCTGTCTTAAAAGGCAAGCATCACATCTGGACACAGTATTCCAGCCAGTTGCTCTATACAGAAGAAATATAATTTCCCTGTTTGTGTTTGCCATTCTTCATTCATATATGCAAGAACTGTGTTGTCCTTTTGGTGACATCCCAAAAGAACTTACACTGAATGCACTACATAAGAACATCCCTACCGAAAACCATTTCCAGTCCTGAAGTAACCATTGCATTCTTCATTGCTTGCTTGCAGCAGCATTAAAACACATTGTTTTTTAGAACCTAACAATTTAATCCAGCTATTCCAATAATTCTTACTAGTAATTTAGACAGTTTACTACAGAACCATCAAATAATTTATGTTGAAAAGGATCTGAAAAATACCCAGTCTAATCTCTTGCTTAAAGCTGAGCTAGTGTCACAGTAAGAACAGGTAGCCCAGGTCCTTTCTCAGCCTCTCTGGACACCATCTTTCACGGTTTACCCACTTTCAGGCAATTTTTTTTATTTTACATTATAAAATATGCATTGTCTAAAAGCATAGCCATGGAAGACTTTATGACCACATTTTAGATATTTTTAAAATATAGCTAAACTTTGTTTAAAAATTTAGCCACAAAAAGTACACAAGCCTAATGAGCAACAGCCTTCTACATTGGCACCTGACCACTGAGAAGCATTATAGTCCATGTAGCATATACAAAATCTGTTAATTCAGCCTAATTTAATTGATTCAGTAAAACAGCATGCAATATTGAATTAAAAGCTCCAATACAGCCCAATGAAACAAGAAGAAGACTGAGAGTCAGACCAGTTGTTTCTGTCAAAAAAGATTTACCTTGTAAGATGGCAGGCTGGCTGGTACTCCTTTTGACTGCTAACTTTAGCTGTTAGTGCCCTCCATTGCTCCTGGGAGTTATCAAAGCAAGAGCTACTGCCTCATTCACCTCCTTTCTCCAGCTGCTAATTTCAGCTGTATAACTTCTGCAATTTTCTGCAAAAGTTCAGCTGCTTAAAGTATTCCTCCTCTAAGTCTTTAACATTCTTAGGAACTGTACAGCTATGCTGATTAGAAAATGTTTAATTTCAGCAGACGCTGCTTTACATCTTCCTTGAGTGCAGTAATACTTCAAGTCTCTTATCCAAGTGCCAATTAGTCCTTGAAGCACACAAAATTTGACCAGCAGTAGATAAAAGATAAACCCAGAAGGATCTTACGGCTTTCCACAGGCACACTGCTCTTGGCATTAATACTATGTATTTATTGGTAGAGAAGTTACTGCTTGACAGCATTTTGCTTCAAAACATGTTTGCAAGATAGCACTCTAAGAAAGCAAGTCTGAGGATTGTGAAGTCTTACATGGAAAGAAACTTGGTTTCATATTTACCTGGCTAATTTACTTGCCATCTTGCTCTTAATTTTATTTGAACACACTTCTATAACTTTAATAAAGTTCTTTAAAATGTCATAATTGTTTGAATGCTGTCACATTTGGTTGTTATAGTTCCAAATGTTTACTTCTTCTCCATTTGGGACTATGAATCTCATACGCAGTAACATGACTACTTAAGAGGAGCTATTACACTTTATGTCAACCCAGCTGCTATGTACATAAAAGTTGCATAATAACAATTCTGATGTTAATTTCGGTTTTACAAACTGTTTGCCAGGAACTATTTCTCCACTTTTGATATTTTAGCGAATTAAAATATTTTCTTGCCAAGATAACCAAATACGCTAATGTTTATCGTTAATTAGATAAATTGTTGCTGAAATCAGTTTATCAGAAGTGGGTGGCTCATATGTATATTAAACTCCTCTAATTTTAGAACAGCAAAATGTATTTTTGATCTGCTCTGATAAGTTTAAGTGGCAAATTTTCCACATCTTCCGTAATTCTCTATACTATTGCTTAAATACCTTTGCAGCAGAAAGCTTTTATTCATGTGCAACCTTGTACTGCTGTACTTTCAAGTTCCCTGTGGTATTTGAAAAAATAGTGGGTGAAGAGAAGAATGCTACCTTGCCCTTTATCCCAGTTTATTCCATACATGCCTAAGGTGCTCATGTGCTACACAGGGAAATAGTTAAAAAGGACGCTGTTCTGCATTCAATTTATTTCTCTACACCATCACCCACCAAAGAGAAGGCAGCAGCAACTCAGTGGAAATCTGCCACCCTATCACACCTTTCTCGGATGGCAACTGACCATGTTCCTTTCTCTTCTTGCGGATGACAAGGTAGGGAAACCAGAAGGCTGCCGATAAACCTCGCAGAACTCCAGTGAAATTCCACCTTCGTGGATGGTTTTTGACAGAGGCCTCCATGTTCACAGGAGCTGTAGCTGACCTGCAAGAGGCGGCCGCCACGTGTGTGTGACCAGCCCCTCGCGGTGGAGAGCTGGTGCGTGTGCTGTGTTTCTGAAGGATGGCCGGCCGCGGATACCAAGGAGAAGAGAGATGATGGCTGGACTGATGAGGCCGACGCCCTGGTCCATCCAAAAGGGTGGCTACCTGCTATGTCCCTTAATCCAAGGCCCTGCACAGTGGCAGGAACGCCTCGCCCGGCTCCGCGCGCGGGTTTTCCTTCCCCGCAGGCAGGCTCGGGAGCCGGGCCTCACCAGGCACACCGCTCTCCGCGCCGCCGCCGCCGGGCCCGGCCCGGCCCACCGCCCCCGGCCCAGGCGAGGCCGGGCCGCCGGATCCCGCCGGTCCTCCCCGCCCCGCGGCGCTGCGGAGCTCCCGCCCTCGCCCCTCTCTCTTCCTCCGCCGGCAGCTGCGGCATCCCCGGGGCGACGGGACCGGCAGCGAAGCGCCCTCCGCGCACGGCCCGGGCTGCTGCGGTCTCCGCGGTGCCCGGTCCTTGCCCGAGGCGAGCGCGGCGAAGCGGGGGCCGCTCGCCAGGCCCAGCTCCCGCAGCGCAGCCATGCCGGCAGCCCGCGCCGGGCCGCGCCGGGCCGCTCTGCGCCCGCAGCATCGCGGCGGCCCGTGTGCGATGAGCCGCCCACCCTTGGGCACCTTCTCCGCCCCGCTCGCCTCCTCCTCCCACGGAGCCACCCTCCTCCTCCGCCCCCTCTCCCTGCCAGCCTCCTCCCCGCCCTTCCCCGCACTCCACGCCGGTGCCGGAGCCGCGCGTCACTCGGGCTGCAGCCCCGCCGCAGATATGGCGACACTGACAGCGGTCCAGCCGCTCACGCTGGACAGAGGTAAGCGCGGCTGCCGCGGCTCCCTGGCCGCGCCTCCCCGGCCGCCCTGCCCGGGGGCCACCGCGGCAAGCGCCGGGTCTGCCCCCGCAGCTCCGGCGCGGCGGGCGCTGCCGCGGCAGAGCTCCGGCCCCGCAGTGCCCGCGGCTGGCGGTGGCGGCGGGCAGCGGGGATGCCCCTCTCCGCGGGGTTCAGGTGAGCGGCGGGAGAAGGTCTGAAACGGAGGGGGTAAAACTTTGTGCGGGCAGGGGCCGGGATGGGGCAGGTATCCCGCCGCCGGTAGCGCCGCGGTGCCGCAAGAGCAGGACACGGCTCCGCGGTCAGCGCTCCGGTGCGGAGGCGCTCCTCGGTGCCGCTCCGCCGCCCCCGCCCTGCGGGGCTCCCCGGGGGCGCCCCGCCGTGGCCCCGCGCCGAGGCCCCGCGTGGCCGCCCCCGCAGGTGGCTCGGCGGGGGATGCTCGGTGGCGGGGCAGCGCCGCTCCGGCTGCGGGTCGGGAACCCACACCTCTACGAGAGCGTCGTTTTCCGGCAAAATACGGCTTTTTAGGGGCTTGCGCCGAGGTGTGCGGGGATGGGATCCGTGACTGCAACTTGTCCGTTCGCATGCAGAAGATCGGTTCTGCGTATTCCCGTAGACAGCTGCGCGGTCCGGGTAGGGGGAGAGCATTGGTGTTTGGGTAGCCTTGAGGCTGTGTCAGTAGTAATCTTATACAGGTAGCATAAGAGGGTGCTGAAATCTTGAAGTTTACAATCAAACTTTTACCTTCAGGCTGTAAAAATTAAACCTCATTCCCTAGCAGTGCAGTTATTCCCGTAATACGGTTCACCAGAAACCTCATTCGATATCTGTGGGTTACAAGGGAGAGCAGGTTTGCTCTTACCGCTCCCAGTACGGCATTCTGAATTGCCGAGGTGTCCTTCTTCCTCACTTGCATCCAGAGGCTTCAAGAGGCTCTCAGTCCCTATAAATCTTGTACTCTTGAAGGAATAATTGAGGCCAGTGCCTTGCTGTTTTAAAAGTTTGGGGTTTTTTTTCCAAAGGATTAAAATGAATTGTTGAAGTAAGATGGAGATTTTTTTTCCTGTGAATCCTATGCAAATGAAACACAAACTCTGTTTCAAAATTGTAAAGGAGAGGTAGGCACCATTTCTAGAACCCAACTGAGAGCAAAACAGCCCACAAAGTACTCCACTTAGATTCCAGCATTAGTAGAAAGAGAGAAGCTAAAGTTATTTTTACTGAAATAGCAAAGTGTTAGCCTGCATTTTAAATTAAACTGCTCAGAAATCCACTGTGTAATCTACAGTTTCACCCTAATACTGTTTTCAGTAAGCAGGACAAATCTACTTTCTGGCAAAGGGTTGAACAGATGGCAATCCATTAGCAAACCTGACTCTTCAAAGGAAATACCACTATTTCAGAATTATACATCCCTTTTTGCAAAACGATGCTTTAAAAATTCCACAATGCACAAAAATGCAAATTAGTTCCAATTTAAATGTAAGCATCTGTTGTCTGTGTCCAGGATATGCCTAACCATTTGGCAGGCATGCCAGTGTTACAGTCTTTCTGGTTGTCAGCCGCGGCTGGTATTCATATGAGTGAGATAAAACATCACAGAATGATAGGATGTGATGTGCAAAACAAAAATACAGGCAAGAGGAAATAGATTTAAATAGTGTGCCTGACCTGCAGAAGGCCATTTCGTCAGAGGGATACACTTCATCACTTTGTAACATGCTGCTGCATCAACTGTAGAGAATGGGCTGAAGCAATTCCAGAGGCAACTAGACTACACCAGTGTTTCCAAATATTTCCTCTGTAGTCTTTCTTTCACAGTCATGGGAGACGGGAAGTTCTACATAGTGAGATTTTCTAGATTCCTGTTGCTTTGGTTAAAGCAGATGAGCCATGTTTACAGTCACTATCCCTTGCACTTCTCTGCTGTGATCTTAAAAGTCCCTTAAAAGTCTTGTACCCTCATATCCATTTCACTCAGTATAGCAATAAAATAGGGAGCATTTCAGGAGAGGTAGTATTGTTACTCTTGTATTTCTGAGGGAATTGCTGCTTGATCTCTGTCCAGGAAGTGTTCTGCATTCCTCCTTGCTATGGGTCACTTACCCTGGTAAAACATCATAAGGATATATACATTAGAAATATGAATTACACTCTGACGTGGTCTCCTCCTGGAAAATATATAATGACTGTATTCTAGTACGTAGATGGGAGCTTTCTTAAAGCCTGATGTAAATGGCATTTGAAACCTGTATGGTAAAATGAATTACCATTTAAAGGTGAAGGGCATGGTGTGTGTGAATGATTGAAAGCCAATTATATTCTGGAAGATTACTTCAGTCCAAAGCACAGGAATTAATTTCCTTAATTCCTATCATCATGTGCCTTTCTACCTGCACAAATGTGTGCAAGTTCCATTAGGGCTCTTTAATATGTAGAACAAGTTCACAAAATAATGGAAATTTTAATCACTTGCAGTTTAATCTCTAAGGCTTTTGCCTGACCTTTGCGTGGTGCTCTGTTGGGAGGAGGAGAAGAAATCAGCAACTGTTGCAGGAAGGAAACCTAAGGCATTGTGTTAGGGAAGGTGGCCCTAGCATTTGGGAGCTCTGGGAGAGGGAAGTGCCTCCTGGGTGTCTTCCAACAGCCAAGTGAGTCATGTCTTGGAGAAAGTGCTCCCTTTCTACCTTTATTGCAAATGTCTTACACCCTGAATCAATAGCACCCCATGAGTAATCTCCAGTGTCCATGAGAGCTAACTGGTGGAACTTTCAAAGCTTAAACTGTCAAGGTATAGGGAGCTATACCTTGTTTCAGGTTGAGACAAAGTTACAATAATGTCTTCAATAAAATGACAAGTCAAAGAAAACAAACTTGGAATATTTTTGCCTTTTATTTTATGTTCAAGGTTACGGATTTTTAAGTACATTCCCAGCTTAATTTACCTCCATTAAAAAACCCAAAATTGTTACTTCAGTCCAAAAGAAACACCTATACAGTTACTTTTCACTGCTTCCACAAGTACGTCTTCAGTAAAAACTTCGTTGACACTGGTTACAGACAACTCTGATTTCAGTTAATTGGCATTTTCCACCAGTATTTATTTGTATTGGCATACCTCTCATCACTTTTTACTGCCTTTACCTCTCCTCTCAATGTTCTTTGTCTTCCTGAGAGCCATTGCTTCATCCTACCCCATGACCAACAGTAGCTGCCTTTCCCCTTATTATCCAGAGTCCCAGGTCTCCCTTGCATGCTGCCTTCTATTGCCTTGCCCTTTTCAAAGCCCTGGTGCAGTTAACTTCATTGCTCTGTGCATTGCCCTTAATCTTTATCCATTTTCACTGTTCAGCAACCCAATTGCCTGCTCTAGTCCTGGGTTCTTCTGCTATCCAGTGTCTCTAGCACCTCACCAGCCTGACATTCTCTCTAAAGCTGTGTACAGATCCAGCAACAATGTTCTGCTTTTCTCCAAGTGGGGGATGTCATCTCCCCCAGCCAGTTTAGTCTCCTCATGATTATATGAAAACCTCATGTGAGTTCCTGCATGCTGTGGGTACACGTTCTAAGCAATGGGAAATTAAAGCAAGCTTGTTGTGGGTGGGATCACTTATACTGTTTTAGCATAGTGTGATGAAAGCATTTTCTAGAAGTACCATTACCCTCCTGGAAATATGCTAGAAGGGAATAGATTTCTGTGCTTCCCTTGGCACACATTTAAGGAATGGTCATAAGGAAGCCTGCAAATGGAAGGAGGCATATTTCTAGCTATGCATTATAGATGTTCCTCTCTATCTGAACATTTTTGTTTGACTAAATGTCTGACATATTTTTCATAAACCTTACTTTAATTCAAATTTTGCTTGTATTCTTCCTTACAATATGAAAATCTTTCAAAAGAAAACTGACCATGTATTTTTACAAACTGCTGTAAAATCTCAGTCCCAGTTCCTCTTAATAGGATGAAAATGGCAGCTTTAAAAGGGCTCATTCTTGTTTTTGAAAATGCACAACTAGCCTATACAAAGACCACCTTCTGATCAAGAATAAGGAATTATCTTTTCATATGAAGGGGGACTTTCAACTGCCTTTTGATAATAATCCATGCCCTACTATGTTTTTCCCTATATGATTACTATTCATGTCACTGATGATTTCACTTTTTAATGTGACTGAGGATAAAAGAAGCAATTTAACAGACTGAATATACACTGCTGGTACTTTAATCCCTGTGAAGTTTCATAGCAAGGTCATAGCTATTGGCTATTGATTGGCAAATTTCTCTTGATTTCAAATACATCCTTGGGAATTGAAGGATTTCTTGCTGTTTGGCTGTAATGCATAACTGAGTTCTGGTTTTCTTTTACAAATTCAAGCAAATACTTTTCCAGTGGAGTGGGTGTCCCAAAACTTCCTGAAAATCTGTTATAAAGGACCATGTTCAGTAACGAGAAATAAAAATATGAATGAGCTTGGAATTGTCATCAGCTGTTAGACAAACTTCAGATGTGGTAGTAGATGGCACCTGACCATTAATATACATAGGTACTTGCTGAAGCACTTCTCCTTCCTTTCTCTTCATCTCGTCATTTTTCTTCTCACTACATCCTCATAGCCTACATAATTGGGAATTTCTTCCCTATCTGTGCCCTTATACAACAGAAATTGTATCAAACATAAGTTGCATCAGGCTGTGCATGTATTATTACAATATTACAGTATATTATCTTGGAAAAAAGATAAAGCATACTCATCAGGAAGGGAAAATCAGATTCATCAAGTGTGAAATACAGTCCTTGACAGGGGAGCAGCATAAAGCCAGATCTCTTTCGCACAGGGTGAAGCCCTGTGGAGCAGTGCTAAGTGATGTGCTGTTCCCTGCCTGGCTGCCTGTCTGTCTTGGGGATGTCTTCTCTTGCTCTTCAGCTTAGCATGCCAAAATTGAAAAATCCTTCTGCAAGTGCCACACACTTCAAGTCTAACAT